CATCGAATAAACAGTGAGTTAGGTATTTGCAAATTATTTTTATTTGGAAATAGCTGACGTATAAAGTAACAGATACGCTTTCTTTCAACACATGGTTTAGTCATAGTTACCAAATCTTAGTTGAGGCAACCACGATTTGGTTTGAGAGCGGATCATATTCATGNTTCGATGATAGCTTATTTTTTTTGTAATACAACAGAGCTTAGGGAGAAAAAAAAAATCTGCAAAAAATAAAAGGTTTTCGAGATCCTTCCCCGCAAAGTACAATTTTTTTTATATTTTTACAAAAAAATTGAAAAAATCGGTAATGATTGTTCGTTATCTTTGAATCTACAGGGCCTAGCAAAAAGTGTTGTATGCACAGTTTATAGAAAATTTTATTACCTTTTTCGGAATCAGGGGGTGATTTTACATAAGAATTTCATAACGGCGTTTCTGGTAAAGAGAAAAAGTTGAAATTTGTGGTCCAGTGTAATAAACGGTTAGCTGATTCAAGTCTACAGCAAATTCCCAAAATTAATTGAAAACTTGTATCAACCAAAGCATTGTTTATATTTGCGCAACAATGATTTTATTCAACTAACAATATTGTCCGCTGAAGCTAGTCGTTTTGTAATTATTAACAAATATACATTTGTCCCAACTAGAAGTCTCAAGTAAATTGCAGACTTTCGTGAACTAGATATTTATTTCGCCATATCCAACTATAACCAAATCTTGGTAATTATAACTAAACCTTTTTCTGAGTATACATATGTGTATGCACATCAATGAAAAAATAAATCTTATTTTGTCTTTAAAAACCTACAAAACTTAGTTTTTTCTTAAAACGGAGTATATTTATTACTCAGGTCTGCTTGCTTTTAATACCAAACAATTTAGTTAAAATCATGTGAAAAATATTAGGGACATTTTTGCTAGTTTTGCTTATTTCTCTTTTGTTTGTATGTTTACTATGTATATTTATATGTATTTTATAAAAATGCAGCTGAACTTTGTAGAAAAATTCGAAATTTTCAATAAATTTTTACAACGGTAACAAACTTTTAATGAAGAATTTTTTAGAAAAATTCTATGTATGCAGTTTTGTAGCCTATTAAATGCTAGCTTAATAAAGTGCAAGTTTCCTAAGGCTAAGAACTCGCGTTGATTTTTGATATTTTTTTGCTGACTGGGGGTATAGCGCTTCTCATAAATTTACAAAAACTTGATTTTTGCCACTTTTAATTTTTTACGCTGTAGACTTTTCGCTGGAATCGCCAATACATATGTATTCATAAGTGGGTGGGGCTACGCCAAGTTTTTCCAAAACTTTATAATGTTCTTATTTTCCGTCTAAATACTATTTAAAGTATAAATTTTGTGTGCATAAGCTTTAGTATTTAGTTATTAAAATATCGCAGTTTTCGTATTTCTGAAAACTACCAACTCCAATATCGCCCATTTTCAATACCATCCATCCTACGTTCAAAAGAAGTACACGTATCAAGCTTCGTTCGTTCGAGTTATCGTGTGCACAGACGTACGGACGGACGGACGGACGGACAGACAGTCACGGTTTAATCGATCATTCTGAGCATTTATGTATACATTTGAGTGTATCTATCTCGATTCGTTTTGGCTGTTACAAACAAACGTTTTGTAAGCAAAGTTATAATACCCTTGTGCAGAAGTTCGCTCGGGTGTAAAAACCGCAAAAGCAGTTAAAAAAATCTCCAAAATTAATGCGATTTGTTAACCGGTGAAAACTTGCACTTCATTTGACTTAAAGTGTGTAGGCCATACAATTGCATACCCAAAAATGTTCTAAAGATTCAGATTAAAAAGTTGAAATTTTGATGAAAATTTACTGAAATTTCCCAAATTTTATATAAAGTTGGAAACTGTGATTTATATGTTTTTGGTTAAAGTTTGGACGGCATCATGATACAAAAAAGAAGGTAGTTTCATTTAATGACATTCGTTGTTGTTGTTAACCATTTGACTTTTAATAAAATTATGACATTTCATCAAATTCATGCTACCTGATCACTAGAAGAAATATTTTATTTTTAAGCAGAAGATTTTATTTTATGGACTTGAAAATTATGCCGGGTTGACGATTAGGTTTCAGAACGCATGAAGAAAGTGTATACATACTTACGTATTGTCGTTTAAAGTACAAAACCGCGTATCGTCGTTGTGCAAAACCGCGTAACTGATATTTTTTGCCAAAAATTGGATTTGCGCACACAAGCTCTTGGCTCAAGCCTTATTCATTCGTCCTGAAATGCGATTTCTTTGTAAAAAAGAGAACCATTTTTAAATAAATAATACATACGAGGATTTGCATTTTAATTTAAACATTTGTGAAAGTTAATGGCGATACGGTAATCACGAAGCCTAATTTTTTTTCAAAATCTGATGAGAAATTTAAAATTAAATTTGAGCCAAAATATAAAAAGGTTTTATTTGGGAAGAACATTCTTTAGAATTCGATTTTTAAATCGCAAGATTGTATTCAAAATAAGAAAAAGAAAAAATAACAAAATAATGCGCGCGTGGTTTTTATTATAAAATAAAAAGAACAATTACAATGAAGTCTTCTTTAGTAGTTTATATTTTATATAGCTTTAACAAAAATAGTGCGAGCTACGTAAGTAAAAAAATACCAAGCACTGGTAATGGTTTTTGATTTGAAATATTATTACATTGGTATAAATATGCGAAAGAAAATTCTCCGATTTATTGCCTTTATATTATCAAAGTGGCAAGGCTGTTGATAATACTCACAATTTATGAAACTTCAAAAAATTTTATTATCCGTCAAAAGTTGTTTATTGAAACTACGTTCTTTTTTTGTATCATGTGACGGTATTATAGAAAAAAAAATTGCTTGAAACACATTGCGAACATCTTTTTTAAAAAATCAAAAAGTTTGAGTAACTGTGTATCGACACTGAATTTTGAAACTGTGATTTATATGTTCTTGGTTGAAGTTTGAAGGATATTTATAAAAAGTCAACAAGTTTGAGTCACTGTGTACCGACATTGAAGTTTTGGGGAATGTACTTTGAATGCACTAGCAGTATAGAAGTATTCCTTTTGTACATTGGACTTCATCACGAAAAAAAGTTTCGATTTTTTCCCCCGGAATTACAAAATGTATTATATTTGAAGACCTGCACAATAATATTTCGAAAAAATATTAAGATTTACGTGAGCTGGACCGATTTAAAAATACCTCAAAAAATGTAGTTTTCTTATAAATTAAAAAAAAATNTTACGTGAGCTGGACCGATTTAAAAATACCTCAAAAAATGTAGTTTTCTTTTAAATTAAAAAAAACGTTTTCTTAAAAGATTTAAGCTTAAAAAATTAAAAAAAGTTCAACGGAACCTTAATAATTAGATTTTTTATGCTGTTTCTTTCTTTTTTTTCAAAAATTGGTTTAAGAAAAATATAAGTAACTGGACCAAAACTATACCGATTTACACTTATAAGGTATAACTGGAAGGTATTTTCTCACCCTTTTTATTTTTTTCCAAACAAACGCATTCATGTCCAATTTTTATTTTTTCAAATATTAACACATCTAATTCGTGAATTACCCTATTTCCACGACACACATTAGTAATTCATTTGTCAGTTCTAGTTTTTGTTCTTTTTCTTCGCTATTTGTTATTATTTTTGTGTACTGCAAATATCGAAAATGGAGCTAAACTTTAAGTTATCAACAATTTTAATTTATATAGACAATATTTTATTAATATTATTCTATAACTAGAAAAAGTGCCAGCAAATGGGACCAGGTCGGTGAAAACTTCGATATATTTCCGATAAATATTAGAGAAGTCACCGATTCGCAGGTCATCCGCATGGTAATTCGATCTGAATTATATATAAATGAGGTTAATCGCTCTCAAAATTTTGTATGACGAATTAAGTAATTCGGAAGATAGTTGGCAAGGCGAATGACGAATGGGAGAGCGAGTTACGAATGAGAGGGCGAATTGTGAATCGTGGAAACGCCGTATTAATTAAACTTGGAACGACGCTCGTTTATCTTTCATACTTTGAATTAAATTATTTGCAAAAAAAAAATAAAAATGAGAAAATACCTTTGCAATGATATCCTATAATTCTAAATCGGTGGAGTTTTGGCGGAGTTATTTAAGTTTTTCAAAAACCTATCTTTGAAAAAAGTCCAAAATGCATCAAAAATTTCATTATTAGGATTCTGTTGATTGTTTTTAATATTTTAATGCAAATTTTCTATGCTTATACTGTTTAGCCATGTGAGGTGTTTTTTTTTAAATACCTCAAAAAACTATTTTGAATGATAAAAATCTCACTTTTTGGAGGTACTTTTAATCGGTCCAGCTCACGTAAATCTTAATATTTTTCCGAAATATTTTGGTGCAAGTCTGAAAATATAATAGATTTCATAGTTCCAATGGAAAATTAGTACCTACCGATTTTTTTTTGTATGGGGAGTGATGCAGTCTAGTGTACATATATGTATGTCGAGAGTTTATATTCAATACCCTCTATCTGCAATTTGAATAAAATTTAGACCCGCGTGCTTAACTCGTCTCGGGTTTAACGGTCATCCATACAATTTATTTTAACAAGGCTGACAATTAAGTCAGCTGTGGCTTCATTTTGATGAAATTTGCAGGTAGATGGTATTAAATATAAGTGTTCGAAATATTTTAGCAAGCTTTTGTAATTTCATGTCGTTTTTGTCTTCATTTTACTTAGTTGTGTTGGTAATTTTCGCATATAATAATTTATTAATAAATATGTTTTTTTTTTTTGTTTTAAACTCGTTTACTGCAACTAGGTCGACGCTTACTTGAACTTTCCANTATAAGTGTTCGAAATATTTTAGCAAGCTTTTGTAATTTCATGTCGTTTTGTCTTCATTTTACTTAGTTGTGTTGGTAATTTTCGCATTTAATAATTTATTAATAAATATGTTTTTTTTTTTTTGTTTTAAACTTGTTTACTGAAACTAGGTCGACGCTTACTTGAACTTTCCCCAACCGCAACACTTCAACACCATACATTCGCAACAACAACCACACCATCAGCACCATCAACAACAACAAACCAACGATACAAATCCAATACTACCACCGAAACTTCACAAATCTCTAACGAATTTAAAGTCTTCGACAAGCAACAATCATAGCATTATGACCACGACCACCAAACCATCGAATGTATGTGCTGCTGTTGCTGCTACTACGCCCACCACTACTGCAACTGCCACTGTCTCCTCGAGCTGTACTGCCGTGCAGACGATTAGCACCCTCAGTAAACCAACAACTTCTACGGCGGCATATTCGTCGCGTAAGGATCATCATAATAATCTAGATCCTATAAGCAGCATCGGCATTAACAACAGCAGTAGCAATAAAAATTCGCCGCCATCACTCACTTTGCCACTATCCCCGGTGATAACGAAAAGCGCTGGCGGCACAGCGGCCCACAGCAGTAGTGGCACCGGCGGAATCACTCCCAGCAACACCGTCGGCTCGGTCTCACATTCTTCAGAGAAGTCCAGCAAAATAAACTCAAGCACCTTTTACCCGCTGCAAAATAGCCACGTGACCTATACACTGCCAAAACACATTAGTGGAAAAGTTTCGCTGAATAGTACTATTGCCAGTGTGGTAAGCAAGGTGCCTTCAGTGATCAGTATACCCATTGGTGGTGGGGAAGTCGATCTCTATGAGAACAACAATGGCTGTGGTGGCAGTAATGCTTTGAGTCAAAATAGTGGCACGAGCAGCAAGCACGAAACGTCGTCAAAGAACGGAGGAGGAAGCGGGCGTAGCACTACATTGCCAAAGACATTGCGTACCAAAAAGCAGCAAGGCTGCAGCGGCAGCAACACCAACAGCAATAATATGAACAACCAGCCATCACCTTCCAACAGCACACCGTCTACCTTGGCAGCAGTGTCAGTGTCGGTATCGCAATGTAGTATGCCCGCCTATCCACAACAGTATGCTAGTCATCATGCCAAAACAAACGCAAATGCAATAACAACCACTACAACAGCAAATGCAACAACACAATTCAATTCCCACGTTGTTGATGGCAATACTTTATCATCTGCCAAACATTTACCCGTCTGTACAACCTCTAAAAATTGCCTAAATCCGAAGGAGCATTTTCTACCGAACGACACCAGTTTGGATGACGATTACTTGAGTGAGTGTGAGAATTGTAAAATAGCGCAGAGCGCTAAATATTATTTGAATGCTGAGGAAGTAGAGTCAACACCGCAGGAGACAATGACACTGCAACGTAAATCGATGGATGACAATAAGGAAGAACAGGAGCAGGCATATTATCGAATTTCGCACACGCTGCCAACAAATCCAAAGAAAAATGCGTAAGTATTAAATGTACATGCATTAGCGTTGCTCCTGTGCATACGAATTCCTCGTTTAGAGGAAGAACAACTTTTCTTACACCAAAGCGAAATTTATCACCCCTATTCTGTTTTCTGCAACACTTTCGTATTCGGATTTTGTCACGAATCTTAGAAATGGTATGCTGCAATCCGAATCGTACCTTCGAAATTCGTAAAAATGGCATGCCTAAAAACAAACGAGGAAGAAATTGACAGCTTTTTCGCATAATTTTGTACCAAAACAATTCTGTGTCGGAATCGAGATAAAAATTAAGCAAAAAGATGTAAATCGAGGTGTGTTTGCAGGAAATATTAGTGGTGTTCTTTTAAACAGATAAATTTGCCTTTCGCATATATGTACGTATATTTTTATATAGTGCTTTATATGAACGAACCAAAAAGAATGTTTGTTGCCCCTTATCGAGAAACTTGGGTACGGTTTAGTTATTTGTACAATCATTTTGGGTTGTTGTATGCAAACGCATCACCCAATCTAAAGACTTTAACGTACATATGTATGTAGTCAAAGGATTAAACTTTAATTTAAACAAAGGTTTAAAATTCCCGAGCTCTAGTTTATTAAAAAATTCGGTTTGAACGGCGCACTTTTTGTAAATTTCGATATGGGTTCTGCNTGTTTGTTGCCCCTTATCGAGAAACTTGGGTACGGTTTAGTTATTTGTACAATCATTTTGGGTTGTTGTATGCAAACGCATCACCCAATCTAAAGACTTTAACGTACATATGTAGTCAAAGGATTAAACTTTAATTTAAACAAAGGTTTAAAATTCCCGAGCTCTAGTTTATTAATAAATTTGGATTGAACGGCGCACTTTTTGTGCAAAGAAACAGTGGATGTCGTAGCCGGGGTTATATGCACAATAAATGTTGTATACCTTTCACAGTCGAAGAGGAACTTCCGCCCTCTTCTCCGGCAACACAGAAAAGAANTGTCGTAGCCGGGGTTATATGCACAATAAATGTTGTATACCTTTCACAGTAGAAGAGGAACTTCCGCCCTCTTCTCCGGCAACACAGAAAAGAGAATTCTCATTAGTAAGGCTTATAATCCCTAAGCGGAGCCGAAGGCAGAAGTAAGCGCAACCAGGTTGTGGACCTAACAAAATTCATATTTTCAATGGCTTGGAAGAAGCCATTATTGCATTAACTGGATTGAGAACCAGTTCTTCAGGCATAGAAGGAGTTATAGCTTGTGGCTCAACCAGCAGCTGACATAGATGGGTCCATGGTTATTTTGCCCGACAGCTCCGCATACCTTTGTGAATCCATTGCCATAGCACGCTCTTACTTCGATGCTGCAATTGGAAATACATCAGAATCCATAATTCTCCTCCAAATATGTAAAATGAACAAATTTTACTATAAACAAGCACATGATCAGTGTTTTTTCAATTCCTTTCCACTTTATTTTCCTTCATATAGCTGACTTCGAAAAACAACTGATAGCAGGAAATGCTGCACACTTTTTCGCCAGGGTTGCAGCATGGAGATTTTTCGTTTTTCGTAACCTAGCTACGAATTACGAATTCAGAAAATTCGGGTTCAAGAGTGCATGTTATTGGTAAATGCAATGTACAAAGTGATTTTACATATTTTGAAGGAAACGATGGACTCTATTGCATTTGCAATTATAGCAGCGGAATAAGAGCGCTCTACCCCAGGTGCTAGTACGTGCTTGTCTTTAAATGAGTTTTGTGAGCATTTGAAGCCCATGCTGTACCGCACTGACATTGTGTGTATCGACTAAGCCATGCCATCTTAAGTTGACCCATTCCTGTACGCTCCTGTTGAGAGGCGTGAGTTAATAATAATAATAATAATATAATAGATTGGCGCTTACACATAAGTTAATGTTTGGCCGAGCTTCTCCTCCAATTTGTGGCGTGCGCCTTGATGTTGTCACACAAAGCGGAGGGACCTACAGTTTGTATATCAAAGAAATTAAAAATATTCGATTGATACTTTTTATCTAGAAAAACGTAAATCTGGAGATTAGTCCTCTGCCCAACCCACCACCCACAAAAATCACTGCCGAAATTCTTTAAATAGGCTTCAGTTTAGAATAAACTTTCAACCTGTTTTAGTTTGAAGAAATTAGTAGTAATCTACAACTTGATTACCACGCCCACCGTTGGTTTATGTTTATCATTGTTAACAAAAAACATTTTATTTCCACATACGTATACATATCGTTACCTAAAAGTGAAAGTCGCTTTTTTAAATTGTTCAAAGAGACGAAAAACCGTCTTAAATGTGTAAACTAAAATACGCCTATATAACGTAAAAAACAAATTTACGAAGCATAGCTGGAAATTCAAATGAGAATCGAGCCATTTAGCCTCCCTTTTAATGAAGATATCCTTAGACTAGCTTGCAGCCCATTTAGATTTAAGCTTTATTTCGTCGCTTGAAAAGGTACATTAGGTGAAGTGCGTACGGTGAAGTTAATAAAATTGTAGCCGATCACCAGTTAGAGCCTGTGCACCAGAACTAAAAAAATAGAAGGCATAAATTCCATAGTAAGAACTATTTTATATTATTCCGATCACATGTGCTCATGGGACATTCAAAGCAGGGCAGCACATGGTTAAATAAATATAAGGGTTACATAACCTCTTTTTTTCTGCATGCCAATTGCGGCCATGCATTTTGGGGTAGTAGAAAAAGGGGGAAAAGATTAGGATTATTTTTACTGCTTTTTAAGTACTATTTCCAACACATAAATATGTCAGTGGACCCCACACCAGTTAAATGAAGCTTGCATCAATAAAATATTTTTTCTGTAAACCAGTGTAATTACAGTTTAATTTTTTTGCTCAAAAGAAATTATTATTACTTAATTTTTATTTTTTCGATCAAATATATTAATTTTAATAATTATTATTCAGTTTAATTTTCCTACCTTAAAATTATTATTTGTAAAACTTAAAAGGCCACTCGGTCGTGCCACACACATATCATGATGGTTAAAAATTAAAAAGTAAGGACTANAGTTTAATTTTTCTACCTTAAAATTATTATTTGTAAAACTTAAAAGGCCACTCGGTCGTACCACACACATATGATGATGGTTAAAACTTAAAAAGTAAGGACTATTTTCCGTCTTTTATTTATTCATATTAAAACAAATTAAACTAAACCATTCTCTTTATTTAATTATTTTTAAATTCTAATAAAAATTACATATTAGCCTGTATGGAATTTTGTTTGTATTTTTTCCTTAAGTTCTAAAGTACATGAATATGCGTACTTAGTTTTTAAATATCTAAACTTTAAAGGGAATTTTATTTTACGACCTTTATTTTCGTTACCATCNTTCATATTAAAACAAATTAAATTATACCGTTCTCTTTATTTAATTATTTTTAAATTCTAATAAAAATTACATATTAGCCTGTATGGAATTTTGTTTGTATTTTTTCCTTAAGTTCTAAAGTACATGAATATGCGTACTTAGTTTTTAAATATCTAAACTTTAAAGGGAATTTTATTTTACGACCTTTATTTTCGTTACCATCTTAAAATTACATTTCTGAATTCTATCAGTAATATTATAAAATAATTATGCATTTAAATTGTTAGACCAAATCCAATAATATGTTGGATATGTAGTTTATATTTTACCAAAAATTTACTTACAAAATCACAATTATTGGAAATTATAGCTCAAATTTTTCAATGAATTTGAATCGAAAGGTCAAAGCAAAAGCGAAAGAAAGAAACAGTGATACCTGCTCATACTTTTTTCATTTTTTTCTGCTCCATTTTTTTTCCATTTTGCCCAGAAATTAAATTGGAATAAATAGGGTAGGCATTTCTGTAACGCTGGTATGCCGAAATTGCCAAAACNCATTATCGTAGCCATCCGAGGCACTGCTCCAATAATATGTTGGATATGTAGTTTATATTTTACCAAAAATTTACTTACAAAATCACAGTTATTGGAAATTATAGCTCAAATTTTTCAATGAATTTGAAACGAAAGGTCAAAGCAAAAGCGAAAGAAAGAAACAGTGATACCTGCTCATACTTTTTTCACAAAATTGTCTGCTCCATCTTTTGTTCCATTTTGCCCAGAAATGAAATTGGAATAAATAGAGTAGGCATTACTGTAACGCTGGTATACCGAAATTGCCAAAATTACAACAACCACCCCTTAAGTGACAACACCTTATTATTATTTCACCATGAGGCCAGCATGAAGTCTAACTGGAATTTTGTAGGTCTCCTGTTTCCTTCTTCCCATCTACTTCCTGCACATTTTGCAGTTTGTGAGCAGAAATGCTGACAAAATTTAAACTTCAAAACGATTTCGAAATCTAACCTAACATTCGTTTTAATTTTTTTCAGTCCAATCAAAAATAACAATCGTGAACCATGGTTTTCTACAATCCCTGCTAGCTCATCATCCGAAGAGGATGTCAACGAATGAGATTTAACGCATTTTCTTTAAATAAGAAGCAACAAAAAAACGACAAGCACCGAAATAGTTATTAATTACGTGAGCCCACACACACATAAGCGCACTCATACTCATGATAGGAAAACAAGTGACGGATTAGCATTTTTGATGTNTAGTTATTAATTACGTGAGCCCACACACACATAAGCGCACTCATACTCATCATAGGAAAACAAGTGACGGATTAGCATTTTTGATGTGACAAATAAGGAAAAACAATTAAGTATATAAATGTAGTAGCCTAGCCGCACAGTAAGGTAAGTTATAAAAAAATGCTTGTGATGATTTAAGACATGAAAACAAAGTAAGAGAATTACATACTTGGAGGAATATAGATACATTATACATATATGCAGAAATGTATAACAAGAAGATGATGTACATAAATGGCATTTAAAGGAGTCGTGTAAATTCAATGGTATTAATTTGTAGAATATAAAGAAAAAAATTGTTAGGAGATAACAAATCTAGGGCTTATATTCAATACTTCTCTATCTGCATTTGTCACAAAAATGAGATTCTGATATAAAAATCCACCTAAGATNAAGGAGTCGTGTAAATTCAATGGTATTAATTTGTAGAATATAAAGAAAAATGTTGTTAGGAGATAACACAACTAGGGCTTATATTCAATACTACTCTATCTGCATTTGTCACAAAAATGAGATTCTGATATAAAAATCCACCTAAGACTTAACTGTCATCGGTGGTATTAATGCTGACACTGTACAACGCTTGACAGAAGAAATTGCTATTAAATTACAAAGTCACAATTAACATCATGACAACATGAGTTCTAAGATCACAAAGTAGTTTTTGTGAAAATGGCAGATTGAATATAAACCCTCGAAGAGTCAAGCGCTAATGAAATGAAAAAAAGACAAAAACAATGAAAAAATTTCAGTGTTAAAAAAAAAACTTATTACTGCATTGTTGATTCTCCTTTCAACTTTTTGCACGTTTCATCAGTCATTTGCGCTTTGCGTGTATACCAAAAATATTATTAGTTTCAATTACAATAAGCAAAGTACATTAGTATATATCCATGTAAGAATAAGCGTGAGCATGTATGTATTTACAGAGAAGCTCAAATAGTTGAAAACAAGCCAGATATCTTAACTAAGAAAATATGCATATGCATAAACACATAGTATTAAAAAAAAAACACATTGTACAACTAAGCGGTACCAAAAATTTTAAGCAAAATGTTAATGTGTGTGCAAAGATAGATGTTTATTAATTATGCGCTTCAATTAATAAGTGATTATGACGAAAAGTTTATAGTTTTATTTAAGCAGTTTGTTCGTACATATACATACAATATAAGATAACTAAAATTCACTTGAATTATTACGAATATACCCTGCAAACCATTTGTTCATAGTATTCTGAATTGTAGAGAAATTTTAAGGAATTCGTAAAGATCTCATCCGATTTTGTGCCGAATTTTCTAAAATGAAATGAACTGTGCACACTTTGATTCTTTTACGAAATTTCGGAAGAAAATCGGTAAAGAAATGAAAATAATGCTGCTATGTGAAGAAGTTCTTGCAGAAGTTTTTCAGAATTTTCTTTATTTTTCGTACAGAAATTTCTTTACGAGTTCGGGTCAACCACTTCATATAATTTTCTTTGAAGATTCGTAAAAAAAAAATCGTTACAGAAATGAGATTTCGTTAAGATTTCGGGAACTTTGGTTTTTGCAGGCTATGTACGAGTAAAACTTATGTAGGTGTATAAAGAAGCAAGCCAATATTTAAGTTCTCGCACAAAATCAATTAACGCGTTGCTGGGTGTTCACGTTGTTTGCTGTGCACATTTCGGGGAATAAAGAATTAAAATTAATATTTATATACTAAATATTTATAGTTAGTAAAATTTTACTATGCGAATTGCAAATGTTAACAAAATTTTACTGCACATAGGTAATTCGTTATGGAGACAAAAAAAAAAAAAAACAGAAACAAAGCGAACATCAGTGATATGCAACCAACGTGAATATCATTTCTATGTATAGTTATTGCCACTACCGAATTAGATAAAAATGATTAAGGTGTATATGTGAATGCCAAACAATGTATTAATTCGAAGTTATGCTTTTAAAATTTTATAAAATTCTAGAAATTATGCTACACAATTTTTCACAAAATTGAGTGACACGCCAAGTTTCACTTAAAATTCAATTTCAAGAATTAAGGCTCAGTTAGATAATCATACCATCATAGCCATAACTCTGTCTAATGTTTCAGTGCTGCTTATGGTTATGACGAAAAACGAAAACTCAGTAGATACATGCGGTTATGGTTATGGCTAAGAGTTGCCTATACGTTTGATTAGAACAGATAATTGCTATGATTATGGCTATGGCAATGTTATTGTTGAAATAATTGGGCCTTTGATCGTACCTAAAAACTATAGAGAACCTGTGCGTTTTTTTGCTTAATCGTTAAAGATTATGTACATATGGGTGTTTCCATGATGTCGGACGTGACATTCATCCGAATTTAGTGTAAAATAAATTATACGAAAACGGAAGTCATTAATAAACAAAATTTGCCGTTGTGTAGCTATTATACGGTCCTTTGGTTGACAAAGAAATTAGGGACGTGACAAAAACAGAAGATGTTGTAGAGTATGTATATACATGTAAAAATAAGCAGAACTCTGCGAATCCTGTGGGGTTTTCTTCTCTTGAACTTTATTTAAATAAAATCAAATTACGGACCATTACAACCGGCGGATGCGCGTGCAGCGCAATTGCATTTTTGGTTGCAATATGATCCCAAAATATGCGAGCGTTTTGCCGGTGGAATTGTGTGGGAACGGAATCGCATGATAATTTGCTGATTGTGTGGAAATGGCTTTAACAAAGCATGGTATTAACTCCTCCCTCCGAAATTCCAATCGTCCCCGATTGGACTATTTTTAAAAAATGGAATGTCGTTAAGACCCCTGTGACGAATATTTGGTATTTCCGGCATTTGTATGGACTGTGGTTTATGGATGATTATTTCGGAGCTTCTGCTCCTCTTGCATTTAAATATTGCAATTATGGCTATAATTATGGCCAATATCCCAAAGTGTGTAACCATACTGGATTTTACCAAAAGGTTTAGGGAACTTATTTTTTTTATATTCCTAACATTTAGCTCCTTCATGAATTTAAGAGATAGAACCTCCTCAAACTCTGAGCGTGAATTCGAATGCTGGATTAGTGGAGGCAACGGTCTCAGGCTATGTGCTTCCAGAACAGTAAAACTTAGGTTATTAATCTTTATGGTTTCGTTGAAATACTTTACAAGATATGACCCTTTTGCGTGACTTGTTACATTTTTGTTGGTCAGATTTCCATTAAAATTATTTAACGAGATTAGCCCTGTTTTTATTTCATCGATATTATTGACATGGTCACTATTGGTCACAATGCAATCGAAAGGCTTACTTTTAATTAAATTTGTAATACAGTTCTCATTTTCGAAATCTTTGATTTGATCTTGCTTACATATTTTTACATTATTTATTTCTTTGCAATCTTTTAAAATTCCAAAATACTTTCCTCTACACTCTTAACACATTTTCAAACTTCAGTTTCAAGATCCTTCCATCTCTGCGTATTGGTTTCATTAGAATACAGTTTTATTTGGTCTTCCGTTTTTGGTTACATAAATTATTAAACTTTCATTCATAGCGATTTGAACGTCAGCCAAATTCAACGACTCCTCTAACGATCCAAATGTCATATTTTCTTTTATAAATATCTCGTTAATTTTCTGAGTTTCTTGGTTGGAAATTATAAAACTATTTATAATATTAGCCTTGGTAAGATGTATTGCTCGGTTAATATTCTCAATTTCTCCTTTTATTATATCAATCTTAAACTTATACTCGAGTATCAACGAGGTTAGAAGTTCGTTGCTACTTTGCATCGTTTTTAGTATGATATTACTTACTTGCGTAATATTTTTAATTCTATCAAAAATGTTTCTATCGATTATTAGTTGCTGGTTGTTGTTTTCAACAACTTCAACTTTAGATGCAGGAATATACGGTTAGGTTGATGTAATGGAGGATTCTGTAGATACCTGTTTGCACCTTTCCGATGCCATTCTCGATGGTAACGATTTCTGCTTGAGAGTAGTCGAGCACCTCGACTGAGCCATTGCGCAGAAGAAGTTTGAGGGAAAGGAATAGTAATAATTCCTTCGGGATCTGCATCATTCCTTACTGGTTTTCCACAATGGAGATAAAGATGGGTGTAAAGATGACGGGCAAAGATGATTTTTATTTATTTATTTATTTATTTATTTACTTGTTACCAAAGTCACTTAGAGCTTAACTGTTTGTTACTATTTTTTGTTGTAAAGATGATGGGGGTAAAGATGATAGCGTTTATTTATTTATTTTAATTTATATTTTTTTTTCCTTTTTTTACCAAAGTCACTTAGAGCTTAACTGTTTATAATTGTTTATAAATTTTTTTGTGTTGCTATTTTTTGTTGTAAAGATGATGGGGGTAGAGATGATTGCTTTTATTTATTTATTTTATTTTATATTTTTTTTCCTTTTTTACTAAAGTCACTTAGAGCTTAACTGTTTATAATTGTTTATAACTTTTTTTTTGTGTTACTATTTTTTGTTGTAAAGATGATGGGGGTAAAGATGATTGCTTTATTTATTAATTTTATATCTTTTTAAAGTCACTGTATGTCTTAACTGTTTATAACTTTTTGCTTTATATTTTCTGACGATTTTCCTTTAACTGCTAACTGTTTATACCTTTTTGCTTTATATTTTTTGACGATTTTCCTTAACTGCTAACTGTTTATAACTTTTTGCTTTATATTTTTTTATGATTTCTTCTAATTATTCGCTATTGGTAGGCTGGACTATACGGTCCGTCCTTTTTGCGAGGATAAAAATTTTCCTCGCTACTAAGGGGCCTGTTCCAATAGTATGTTTTATTTATTATTATATTTTTTCCATTTGTCCGCGTCACTTTGTCGCGCGGTCCCTTACTTCGGGCGCCAAATAAAACGCGAGACTTAAGTTTATGTTTTAATCTTTAT